ACTCTTATCAACATCATCAACCAAGTTTCGTAGAATCTTGTAAGCTTGAAGTAAATGATCCAAATGATTAAACGACACAGAATCTACCATTTTCTCAAAGCTTCTGATCATGCATTGAAGATAATAGCACATTACTGTGTAATAAATTGCAAATGTGTTTAACGGAAATATCAAATACAAGAATATTGGTACAATATAAAACACTGTCATTAAAATGATAAAAACAGGTCCTAAAGTTGTACTGTAGACAGTGTAACGTGAACCAAAATCATGCACAGCTATGCCACAATATACACCAGAAATAATGTAAATAATGTAGCTACAGACAATCCAAAAGTAAATATAATTATTTTCATTCCGTATTCCTCCGAGTTTGAATCTTTTGGAAAGTGGCTAATTCGAGCAGATAATTCTGGCAGTCTTTTGATCCTCAAAGTCAAGACCAACCTATGAATGATGGATATTGTTAAAAAGGCTATATTCACTATAGTCAGCTCAATATCATTGACACTTGCCGTAAAAGAGATAATGACAAATAATCCAAAGGTTATGAGTGAAGCATTGAAAATTTGTAGAACTGTCTTCTTAAATTTGTCAACCTTCCCATTGTTTGCTGATATAGTTGCACTGCATATATTTGATATTCGAAATAATAAATACATTCTTTTAAAAATGATATCATTTCTCATTTTTAAAATTTTCTGAAGAGATATTAATGAAAAACAGTATTACTTCATTACATTAACAAAATTTAATATTTAATTCTAATATTATTGCCTCTAATCTGATGCTTTCTGCAATCTGAAACTGAAACGCATTGGGCGATGCATTTCACAATAAATAGCAACTAAATGATGTAATCGATTTGAATACTAATAAATGCATAATTTTCCTTCAAACATAAAATCGATATTTATTGCGTCGACCATTGGTTAGCGTTTTTAATAATACTAAGAGGTTTTTCTTGTATCACAATTTAACTTAATTTTTCTAGGGAATAAATTTTTCTTTAAATCTTGCTTTCATTTTGAGTTACATTTTAAGTTACACAGAAAAACCAAATTAAAAAATAAATATTTTTCTAAGCGTTTGTTGCAACAACATCCTGTTGTTTCACGCATTCCTTATCCCATTTATGCTGTTTGAAATATAAACCAACTTTCACAACCTCTTTCCAAGAAAATATCTGCAGGAGTGACTAACTGAATGTTTTAAACCAAATTTCTATGCCCCTACGAAGCAGGTTAAAGTCACAAATCCAACCACGAACGCAATCTTGAACTTCTAAATTACAAAAAACTTTCACTCGACTTCTATTCCTAAAATGGAACCCTAGGCATAAATGGGTTATAAGGGATGACTTAGAATCTGATCATATCAAGGTCTTATTTTAAATTGAATATAAATATTAGTTTTCAGCTGGTTCTCACCGTGTGAACATAATTACACAAAAGCCCCCGCAAATGTGAGAACCATTTCCTGGTTGCACCATCTAGTAGTGGCAAATTCTGACGCTTGAAATGTTTTTAATTCATGTTAGATATTTCAGTGATTTAATTTTGTCGAGAGTAGGGATTGCTATTTCGGTAACTAGGATACTGAATACTTGGTATTCACAACTTTAAATACCGGTTTTTCGGTATTTACTAGAAATTTTTTTATAAAATTGTCTGCACTATATGTTCACAGAATGACAACATAGTAAAAAAATATACGTTTTTGTTTTTATATCTCTCTAACGGGTGAAATTAATTAGACTGTGAATATAAAGTTGCATCGCACTATTAAGAGAAGTGATAAAATAGGTGAATCATCCTAGGAGGCAGGTCAAAACTATTTATTGGAGCTCAAGGCGATATTGCACACGCTCAGGATCCGTAGTTTGATATTCGAATCTGTGAAAAAACAAAGTTGTAGTTGTGAAAAATATGCGTAATATTTCGATATTTTTTTAAATTGGTGAGTTTGTTATTCACATTAGTATTTGCATATCATACTTTAGAGTTCAAAATATTTTTCAGATTCATTATATATATACTCATAAATAATAACCCATATTAAGGAATAATGATAACTTTAAGGAATACAAAATAATCAGTTGATAATAATTTGGTTTGGTTTCATTATTTATATGAGATTATCGTGCATTTTAAAAGTATATCACGCATTGCTAACAGTACCACCAACTATCATAGATGCCGAAAGCGAATTTTCGACAGCTGGTAATTTTTGCACGATAATTTTTGTTCAATTTAATGCTGGTAATTTTTGTTCAAAGCTTAATAACAGTACAATTGATGCATTATGTTTTTTAAGATCACATTTCAAAACTTTTAAATAGTACCACAGACTGAATGGTGATGTTCGCACTTTTGTGATTTAAATAAATAAGATGATCCTTTACTTTTTTGTGGTTCTTTATATATACCCTTATACTTTTTAAGTTACAAATTATTATTGTGATATTTACACTCTATAAAAAAATGGTAGATAAAGCAATGAAAGACATGTGTTTTCTTTTTTATAAAATTTCTGCTACCTCTATTAAAACCGGCGTCCCGGTATTTAAGACCTAAAAAAGACCGGTATTGAACTTTTGGTCTGAAATTGTAATCCCTAGCCGAGAATACTAGAGAAAAAGGCCAACGCCCGCGTTGTTCCCTGGGGGTCACCCTCCCAAGTACTAACCTCACCGGATGATTCTTAACTTCTTTGATCAGACGAGAACCGGCATTTTCAGTACGTTCATGATTCTAATACTTTTCCGAAGTTTATATAATCTTACATCGTCCTACTGTATAATGAATAGCAAATGCGTTAAATGGGAATACGAAATATATGTAGGTTGTTAAAGTATAAATTACTGATACTAAAACGCAGTACCTAGATTCAGTATTCCCTAAATTACTGAGTAGTGGTAACCGTATTTAAGTCATGAATTATCATTATTTAAATCAGATGTAATGTAAATTAAATAGCTAAGGACTGAATAACATAAATCATTTTGTTTATATTCTATGCAGCTTCAATTCAAAACTTTTTCTGATACGTTACTCAAGTAAATAGATATGTTCTTCAACTTTTTATTTTTTTTTATATCGGGACAAATCTATGTATGAAGGATATCATTGTAAAAACTATATTCACTGTATTCATTACAAAATCACTGATATATTTCACAAAACATATAATGATATATACATGGAATAATATCAATATACAAATATTTACTTTTTCCATTATTATGTGTGGATTCATGTGTTTCCAATGAATATATTTAAGATTCGAAAAAAAAGTTGTATAAATTTTTTTTCAAGTCCAATACCTACTTAGATCAACAAAGAATAATTTTATTTTAGCTAATTTTTATTAAATAGTTACAATTAATATAAATACGTATATACATATGACAGAATCGCAAAATTAAGTGGCAATTAATTTTTATTATTTATCATTAAAGTATCGTATTGTCATCCAACACAATCGTGTATATAAAATTTCAGTTCAACTGAATGCTTTAAAACGTGAGAAAAAACATTTTCAAGTTTTGACACAAATCGCCAAAATGGTCGCTAAGTCACCAAAAATGATGCCAACGTGGCTGTATTTATATTTCTTAAAATAATTAGTTTTAATCAATTAATTTTTATTAATTATAATTAAATTATTGTATTGTCACCCAAAATAATCATGTATATAAAATTTCAGCACAATCGAGTGCTTTAAAATGTATTTTATTAACGATTGAAGATTCCACCAAGATAAATAAATAAATAATTATATAGGGAATGCGAGCTAATAGCATGAATTGAATAATCATGTATATAAAATTTCAGCTCAATTGAGCGCTTTAAAATGTATTTTATTATGATTGAAATTTCCACCAAGATAAAAAAAAATAAATAAAAATATAGAGAGTGTGAGTTAACAGTAGGAATTGAAAAAGACAGCAAAAAAAGAGACAAATTAATGTATTTCTTTCTTCTATTTAGAATACGTTTAAAATTAAGTTTTGTTGAACATTTATGAATGTTTAGTTCTTTTACGATCCGTGCTGTGAGATTATACTTTTTAAAGAATTTCATTTACCGTAAAATCCGGCGTGTAACATGCACCTATACTTTCAAGCTACATTTTATATATGAAATCCTTGGGTATACTGGCCACATAACACGCACTTCCATTTTTAGGAATAAACCTGAAATGTAAATGCGCAAAGTTCTTATGTTTTGAAGTCATTTGTTCGAAACGTATCACTGCAATATTTTATTAAATGCACATCTCTCCATTTGAGTCAGGAATTATTAGAAAGGATGAATGAAAAAACATATTAATTATCAATTTTTACTATCAAAATTACTTGTATATATAGATTGGGTTATTAGTTCATTAATTTAAACTTTAAAATAATGTTTCCCAAAATTAAAAAAAAATTTTTTAATCTTTCCTTTGAAATTGGGCTTTAAAAAAAAATATAAACCCCCAAAGCCTTTGTTTTTTTGAACCTTTGGACTAAAATATCTAATCTTCTTACGTTTTTTTTTTTTTTTCCCCTTTACAATTCCCATTCGCCCAGGTTTTTTCCGACTTTTTTACTGAAAGGAAAAGTTATTCTAAATAATGAAAATGAGTTGTGTTCGTGCTATTGCAGCTCCCCCTGCATTGTTACTGTCGCGCTATCAAAGAAAAGCAAAATATTAGCCCCTTTCCAAGCGGAATTATTCCCCCTTAAACTTTTTTTTCCCCCAATTTTTTTTTTTGCCATGGGGCAAAAGGGAACCCCTGCGGGAATTTTTCCCAAAATATTTTGTACAATATTCTTGAATCAACGGATGGTTTCTTAAAGGAATGGTAGTGGGGTTTAGTTGGTGAGAGCCCGATAAATTTAATTTCAATCATAAGTACAATCTTAGTTTTAAGGGGGTTTTTAGTTGAAATTTTTTACTTTTTGTTCTTCACTTGGACCTTTTCGCCTTGATGTATGTTGAATATAGTCCAAACATTATTCTTTTCTTTTCAGTTATTGACCATAATGAACCCTGATATCAGGCATTCAGAGTCTCTTCGATTTACTTCGTCTTTGGGGAATTTTCATGATTTCCCTTTCCGTCGGATCTTAACGCGCTGGAATTATGCAAATTTATTTCTTTTTGTTTTGTGGCCAGAGGGAAATAAAAGGGTGATAAATTGTTTTAAAATTAAACAAAACAAAAAAGAAAATCTTTTTTGTATATGAAAAAGGTTATTATTAAAAAAAACAACTTTTTGGAAAACCCAAATTGTCCCAAACCCCGGGAATTTTTTCCCCGGTGACGCCCCAACTACGAGTTCTCTCGTAGTGTCTTTTCTTCTATAAAAATTACTGTAAATACCATTACAATATTACATCAGTAACTTATTATAATTATATTTTGTAATTTTTTTAAATAAATCAAGACACACCCCGGAAAAACCGATAGTAAAAAGGGTTGAAAAAGGGGTTTTTTCCCGGATTTTTCGGTATTTATTTTTAAATTTAATAAATACTTCTAAAATGATTTTAATTACCTTGTTTTTATACGGAAAATGTTTTAAATGGCCCGGCCCAAATTTATTAAAGGAAAATTTTTATAATAAAACCCAGCGATTCTCCCGTTGGGGGGCCCTGATGACCAACGAAGAAGGGAGGAATGAGCCCCAAGCACCAAGGAAAAAAAATTTAAACAAAGCTATTAATTTTCCCGAAAAAAAAAAAAATACCGCCCAATAAAAAAAAAATTTAATTTGATTTAAATACTTATAAATGTATCGGTTTAAAAGTGTTTGATAATTAATTTTTCAATATTTAAAATTAAAAAAGCAGGGTTTAAATTTTTACCCAAATGGCTCTCATGGGTTTCTTCCAGAAAAAAGGTTTTTGAAGGAAGTTTTTAAAGTTAAAAAATGATACTCGTACTTTTCCAATTTCTGAGGGTATACATTTTGTTTTTTTAAAAGAAACCCCCTCGAAAAACGGTTTTTACAAAAATTGGGATGTTGGGAAAAGATAATAGTCTCAAATTTTTTTTTTCACTTAAAAATGCATCATCCTCTCCACAATAAAGTGATTTGCAAAACTTTTTTGGTTTTTTTATTCAACAACGTGCGTGAGTGGTGAAATCTATTAAAATTCCCTTCTTTTTTGAGAATTTTTATAGGAAAAAATTTTTTTAAAAGAATCCTAACTTACTAATAAAATTTTCTTTAAGTTTTTCATCAAGAATTATATTCCTTTATAACATGGCCCAAATTGTAAATTCCGAAAAAAAAATTCAACACTATATTCTTCAGATATATAAGCATTTCCCTCATTTGAACGGTTTTTTTTGCTTTTTTTTTTATCCATAAATCTAAATTTCTACAAAAAGCACTAATTCTATCACTCGTGTCAAGCATATGTACATTTGTTCCTAGGAGTTGAAGATTCAAAGTATTTAATTTCTGGAATATAGATGAGGTGAACAATTTCATCACAAATAAGCTATCTCGAAACTTCTCAGCTTCTGATCGATTTTCCTCTCCTGAAAAAAATGGCGATTTCGGCTCTTAATTCATAAACACGTTGCAAACATTTTCCCCTTAACAACCATCTTGGTTCGCAATAAAATACAACAGAATATACTCCCCCATGTTTTTTTAATGCCCAGAAAAGTTTTTATTTTTAGGGGTCTTTTTTTTAATAATATTACTTTCCCTTCATAAGCAATATTCAGACGAGGGCTCATTTCTTTTGAAGCCAGATATTTTCTGTAGATCATAAAATGCCCCCCAATTCGGTAAAGAATTTTTTTTCCCAAAGTGGTCTTATGATTAGAATCGTTCAGATAGTGCACTAGCAACATCAGTGTATATTCTTTTACAATTGTTTGAATATGTTTGACTGACGTATAAAATCATTTAAAAAAACAAATAATGCTGACGTTCTTTGAGTTTTATTGGTTTAAAAAAAGAGGTTCTACCGACCCATAAAAAAATTTTAAAAAAACGCTGGGTTTTCATTGCTTTTTTTTCCCTCCTCGCTGTGGTTGGCTCCATCCAAACTATATCGATTCAATGACTCGTACTTTCACGGCAAAAAGCAACTGCTTTTAAAAAAATTTTTGATTTTACGACTTCAAGCACTAAAATAAGATCTTAAAACATGCCCGGGTTTCTTCTTGGGTATTTTGTTTGAACGTAGGAAGCAAGTAAAGCTTTTTCTTTCTCAAACAATTTTTTTTAAGAACGTGTTTTGCTTTTCATATGATTTTAATATTAGTTCAAATATTTCTTGGGCTTTGTTAACGTATTTACCGTGAAGCGTTTCCCAATGTCATTGAAGTTTTTTGATATCATACTGTCTGTTGCCAATGTGTTTGAGCAAAAAATTTCCGAGAGCTTTACATGTTCATTTATTGCAGTAGTAGTAAACCTAATTTTTAAGTATTCTTGAGAATATTTTCGGATTAATTTTCAGAACCTGTCGGGGCCTTACTGATCATCTTTTTCTTCTAACCAAAATTAAAAAAAAGTTTTTGGGATTTTAAAATTTATCCAAGATTCTGTTTAAATATACAGCTTTAAATATTTAATACAGGGAATTACAATATAAAAATTTAAAAAAAGTAAAATTCAAGATGATTTGTAGAAATAGAAGGAAAACCCACCGAGACTGGTGAATTGTTTGGCCCACTTTTTTACACTTTTTGCGCAAACGTCTGATAGATTGCCCAGAAGGTTGCAT